AAAAAAAAAAAAAAAAAAAAAATTAGCTGGGCATGGTGGCAGGCGCCTGAAGCACAAGAATCACTTGAACCCAGAAGACAGAGGTTGCAGTGAGCCAAGATCACGCCACTGCACTCCAGTCTGGGTGAAAAAAAAATGCTGCTACTTGGGAGGCCGAAGCAGGAGAATCGCTTGACCCTAGGAGACCAGAAGCTGCAGTGAGCCGAGATCTCGCCACTGCGTTCCAGCCTGGGCAACAGAGCAAGACTCCATTTCAAAACAAGAAAAGTGGCGGGGTGGGATGGGAGTAAGCAGTTTGAATCGATATTCTCTAAAAATATACAAAAGGACAATAGACATATGAAGTTTCAAAGCCACAAAGAGATATTAATTCACGTTCACCAGGATGGCTATAATCAAAATATATATAAATGGTACAGTGACACTGGAAAATGGTCCTGTGGTTTCTCAAATTATGACCAGCAATTCATACTCACAGGTATATACCCATGAAAAATAAAAACATATGTCCACATAAAAACTTCAACATGGGCCAGGCCTAGTGGTTCACACCTGTAATCCCAGCACTTTGGGAGACCAACGCAGGCAGATCACAAGGTCAGGAGTTCAAGACCAGCCTGGCCAATGTGGTGAAACCCCATCTCTACCAAAAATACAAAATTAGCCAGGTGTGGTGGCAGGTGCCTGTAATTCCAGCTACTCCGGAGGCCAAGGCAGGGAACCCAGGAGGCGTAGTTGCATGAGCCGACATTGTACTACTGCACTCCAGCCTGGGCAACAGAGCAAGACTCTGTCTCAAAAACAAACAAAAAAACTTAAACATGAATACTCACAGCAACATTTGTAGTAGCCAGAAAATAGAAGCAACTAATGAATGAATAAAATCTGGTATATTAATATAATGAAATACAATTTGGCAACGAAACAGAACAAGTACTGAAACATGCTACAACATGGGTAATCCTTGGAAACATTATGCTAAATGAAAGAAGTCACCCACAAAGGACTACATATTATGACTCCATTTATACAAAATGTCCAGAATAAACAAATCCATAGAACAAATGTGGACTACAGGTAGCCTAGGGCTGGCAGATTTGGGGTGAAATGTAGAGTGACTGCCAATGTATACAAAATTTCTTCTGAGGGTGATATTTATACAACTGTGAATAATAAAAACTACTGAGTTATACACCCCATGAGGCTATTAATTTTTTTTTATTGAGACCAAGTCTCTGTAGCTTGCGCTGGAGTGTGGAGTGCAGTGGCATGACCTTGGCTCACTGCAGCTTCCACCTCCTGGGTTCAAGTCCTTTTCCTGCCTCAGCCTCCCAAGTAGCTGGGATTACAGACATGCGCCACCACAGCCAGCTAATTTTTGTATTTTTAGTAGAGATGGGGTTTTGCCATGTTGGCCAGGCTGGTCTCAAACTCCTGACCTCAAGCAATCTGCCCTCTTTGGCCTCCCAAAGCACTGTGATTACAGGCATGCGCCAACACACCCAACATATTTTTTATTTTTATAAAGATGGGGGTCTCAGTATGTTGCCCAGGCTGGTCTCAAAGGCCCAAGCAATCTGCCCACCTTAGCATCCCAAAGTGCTCGGATTACAGAAGTCAGCCACTGTGCCTGGCTGGCTGTTTATTTTTAAAAACTACTTGCACACACAAAAAAACTAAAAAACAAAATAAATAAACAAAAACAAAACAAAAAACTACTTGCACACTCATGCACATACAAATACACTAAAGAATACCTTCAGAAGTATTTCAGCTAAAGAGCCAATCATATGCAGGGCTCCATCTTTTTTTCGAGGGTCAGCATTTGGTTCTGTAAGAATCTGGTAACAAAATCCCATAGTCTTTTGCAGTACCTAGATTAAAAGAGAAAAGAACTATTATTGAATAGGCCAACAGCACTTAAAAAACACTAACAAAATGACTCATATGACATTTAAAACTGAGTGCATAGTTGAATAAATTTCTTTCTTTCTTTTTTAAGACAGGGTTTCACCATGTTGGTCAGGCTGGTCTTGAACTCCAGACCTCAGGTGATCCTCCCGCCTTGGCCTCCAAAGTGCTTGGATTACAAGCGTGAGCCACCATGCCTGGCCAATAAATTTTAAATAATATAGGAAAAGTTACCTAAACATTAAATAAGCCTACCTCTTTCCTCTTACTACAGGCTGTAAACAAAAGTGTCTGGGCGGCAGTGGTAGGAGAAATGAAATCTTCAAACACATCTAGAGAACAAGTTTAAAATTAAGACAATAAACATTAATTTCTTCACAAAAGCATTAAAAAACATACTTAATCATTACCTAAGGTATGAAAATGATCCCAGATTCCCATGTAATTTTGCAAAAGCAGAATTCCATGTCTTTTCAGTACAAATTAAGTGTTTTTGTTTGTTTGGAGATGGAATCTCACTGTGTCACCTGGGTTGGAGTGCAGTGGGGCAATCTCAGCTCACTGTAACCTCCAACTACTAGGTTCAAGTGATTCTCTTGCCTCAGCCTCTCATGTAGCTGGATTACAGGTGCCTGCCACCACACCTAGCTAATTTTGGTACTTTTAGTAGAGATGGGATTTCACCATATTGGCCAAGCTGGACGCGAACTCCTGACCTCAAACGATCTGCCCACCTCGGCTTCCCAATGTGTTGGGATTACAGGCATTAGCCACCACACCTGACCTGTACAAATTAAATGTTAATCCATGAATTCCTCCTAAGAGTTTTTCATTTTTCTTTTTTAACCCAGAACTTAGCAGTTTAAATTATATGTATGAAACACTACCGATGTGAGAATTTTCACAATAGCGTCACAAAAGTACAAGCTGCAAAAAGCACAGATGATCTGGTAAGAGGAAGGACCAATATTCCACATTATTAGCCAAATTATAATTCTTTACTTCTGTGCAGGGACTTCATGTGACTCCAGCTTCCAATGTGTTTTCTCATTTTCCACACATATGATCACCAACATAAGATCCAAAAGTATACTTGAGACATTTAGTGTTGAGGTGTAATCTTGAATATCTAACAGTTTTGGCATTCAGTAATAAAAGCTTAACAGTATTGAATTTGTGTCTGCTAAAAGTAAGATGATTATCAATAATGAATGGTCCCCAAAATGAATAGCCCCAAAAAAAGCTACACAAGGGATCAATTACATTAAAACAACAAAGAAGGGCCAGACGTGGTGTGGTGGCTCATACCTGTAATCCCAGCACTTTGGAAGGCCGAGTCAGGTGGATCACCTGAGGTTAGGAATTTGAGACCAGCCAGGCCAACATGATGAAACCCCATCTCTACTAAAAACACAAAAAATCAGCTGGGCATGATGGTAGGTGCCTGTAATCCCAGCTACTTGGGAGACTGAGGCAGGAGAATCGCTTGAACCTGGGAGGCAGAGGAGGCAGTGAGCCAAGATTGGGCCACTGCACTCAAGCCTTGGTGACGAGAGTGAAACTCATCTCAAAAAATAAAAAATAAAGAAGATACCTAATACCTCATAGGTTGGCTACACACAATCACTCTAATCTTAATTACTGACTTTTTTTTTGTTTCTAAAAAGGTGAATATTTCTTACCAAACTTCATGCGTATATATTCGTAAGGGTCTTCTTGCCAAAGTTCTTCATCGGCATCTGTATAGCACATCAATGGAAAAATAACGTCTTGGATAATACCCTGTAATTTAAAAGTTAAGAAAACAGTAGCCATCAGTTTTCAAATTTAAACCTTCAAATTTCCTCTAAGAATTAAAACCAAAGTAACACTATGATATGAATTTTAAAGCTTAATATCAAACTTCAGTAATGCATTTAATGTGTTCTAAGATCAACTATCTAACTACATCCATGTACTTCCCCTCTCTGTAACAATTATAAGATATAAGTGTACGTATCCTGCAAATAAGTAACTTAAAAATATGCACATATGTAAGTCTATAGAATTCTACAGCTCTAAATAAAGCAAATTAATTATTCATAGAAATAGGAGATAAGCCACTTATGATAGAAACTAATCTGGTGAAATAAAGTCCCTTGGTTACTCCAAATTACATGATAAAATGTAATCACAGACCAAGAGTAAGAACTTAAATCAAGTTTGAAGATAACAGTTTTGGATTAAAAAGTAAGTTGGATAGTCACAAAATACCTCTCATAACTTTATGTCAGAGTGTTCTGTCTCCTTTTTCTGCTATACTCTCAAAACACCAGAAGTAAACTAAGTAACACAACTCAACAAACATGCAAGTTTTCAACCTTTATGGCAACTGATGTTATTTCTATTATATTTGCTATAAAAACATTTCAGATAAATTATTACTTGTATATGGGGCTTCAGATTCTTCCAGGTGAGAGCATGAGAAACTCCTTGATTAATATAATTTAATGTCTGTTGTAAAACTCGAGGAGCCATATATTGCTTCTCCTTGTACTGATACAACACCTTCAATAAAACCTTGGAAAAAAAATTTTCAATCAAAAATCAATGTCCAAATGGAAATTTCAACCACTTACAAGCCAGTCAAAACAGTTAACATATATCTTAATGCCCTGGTCATCAAGAAAAACAACCGCATTCTGTTAAAAATAATTCAACTCATTTCTGATTAAGAATAAAAAGAAAAGCATATGCTGTCTTTGTTTTTATTTTTTTTTCTTTGCTAAAGACAGTGGCTCACTATGTTGCCAGGCTGGTCTTGAACACCTAGCCTCAAGCAATCCTCCCGTCTGAGCCTCCCTAAGTGCTGGGATTAGAGGTGTAAGCCATCACACTTAGCCCATATGCTACCTATTGAAAAACTACAGTATTGAGAGAAAGCCCTATCTTGTTAAAGCCATCTACTAGAAAAACCTCACCCAAAGCAGTTAACTGCCTATTTAGTATCTGTCAATAGTTCTAATTCTAATTCATGTTTCAGAACACTGGTACTTGTAGTCCACAAACCTCTAGTGGTCCCCAAGACTATTTCAGAGGATCTACTAGGTTAAAGCTACTTTCATAATGATGTTGTCTGCTTTCTTTAAAAATGCTGGGTTTTCAGGAGGCGGAGGTTGCGGTGAGCCGAGATCGCGCCATTGCACTCCAGCCTGGGTAACAAGAGCAAAACTCCGTCTCAAAAAA